TCATGGTGTTCACTTTTCATATAATCGACATAGATTAAATAAAAAATAACATTATATTATGTTAACATAAATATGGAATATAATTTTTGTAATTAAGACATGTTGGAAAAGGTGTTCATCTTTCATTTCGTTCAACATCATAATGTATTCTCCTGAAAATGATGAATTCAGTGCGAATGTATCTGAGAATATTCTTAAATAAGGAAATCTATTCAGTGATTGGTTCATGCCAAATTACAGCTTAATGAAAATTGGACTCTTTCAAATTGTGCTCGTTTTTTTTCGGATGTAGGTGAAAATATTTAACAAAGTCTGTCTAGCAAAAACACCTTCTGGTGAGTGCGCGGAAGTCTGTCGGGGGGGTGGGGGGGTTGGGCGCTATACCGCGGGAATATCTTGCTTTTCAACCGCGGTTAGAAAAAATCCATACCGCCCCAGCCCTAATCAAGACACTCCCTGTCCTTCATTATTCAGCTAAACAGGTACAGGTGCCTGAGCTAATGTTATGTTTGACCCATTTGGACCACTAAAACCAAACAGATTGCGTTTTTATTTGGTGCTGCCAATGGCATAAAATGACAAACTCCACCTCTCCATGCAATCCATATTTATAGTATAAAATCAGTGTACCCGTTTTCGTGTGTGTGTGTATACAGTATGTATGTGTGTGTATATATATATATATATATATATATATATATATATATATAATATACACACACATGCATACATTTATATAGGGGTTGGCCAATGCAACTGAAACAGCTGGTTTTAGACCATAATACAATACAAGTCCTGCACAGCGGCCAGAGGGATTCCTCTTCCAGAACAGTGGTCATGTGATGCTGGTGGAGGAATGCGTTTTCTGATTTGCTCCTTCAAAACACCCCAAAGTGGCTCACAAATATTTAGATCTGGTGACTGTGCATGTTCAACTTCACTTTCATGTTCGTCAAACCATTCTGTCAAAAGTCTTGCTCTGTGTATAGGTGCATTATCATGCTGAGACACGGCACCCCCTTCAGTGTACAATATTTGAACCAAGTCTGTAAATTTCTGTAAATTTCAAAGTCTAGGTGCACATGGTCCTCCAGAATGGCTCGGTAGTCCTTTGCAGTGACATGCACAGTAGGGAATGCCATGATATTGCATCACTGATAAACCCCAGTGCTTTACTCTGGACACGCAACAATCTGGGTGTTAAGCCTCTTTGGGGCTTTACCACACTGTATCTCCCACAGATGTGCATAGTTGGTACCAATAAAACCGACATTTGGCATTGGCATGAGTGACCAAAGGTTTGGCTATAGCAGCCCAATCATAGTATATTGATTCTGTGGTGCTCCCGACGAGCAGTTTTGGTGGAAACCAGTCGAGGTGCACATTTAGTTCTGTAGTGAGTTGGGCAGCTGTGGTTTTAGGTTTTTTTGGATACAATCCGGGTTAGTACCTGGACATCCTTTCAGATAGCTTCCTCTGGCATCGACAGTTACTCCTGATGGATATGGTTAGTTTGATATATACTATAGCTCTCGATACACCACAAAGGTTTGCTGTCCTGGTCAGATGAGCCAGCGAGATGCACGCCAACAAATTGTCCCCTTTTGAACTCTGATATGTCTCCCATTATGTTGTTTGGATTGCAATATTGTGTGCACAACTATGCTATTGCTCAGCTAATTCAACCTTCACTCTTACTGATGGAATGTCAAATCTGTGAGGATTGGCCACCAGGATGTGCATATATATGTGTGAAACCTTAAAGGGTTAGTTCACCCAAAAATGAAAATTCTGTCAGTAATTACTCACCCTCATGTTGTTCCAACCCCGTAAGATCTTCGGTACACAAATTAAGATATTTTTGATTAAATCTGAGAGCTGGATGGCTTCTTAAGGGATCGAAGCTGACCGGCCCAAAAGTTATGAAAGACATCGTTAAAATAGTCCGAGTGACTACAGTGGCTCAATCTTAAGTTTATCAAGCGACGAGAATACTTTTTGTGCGCAAAAAACAAACAAAAATAACGACTTTATTCAACTAATCATTTCCTTCTCTGTGGGCCGTGATATTTCACGTAGTGAAACTACGCAAAGCTTCTAGGTTGTACGTCATGCATCACACACATGACCAGCGTCGGCCAATAGTGAGCCTACGTGTGACGTGCAACCTAGAAGCTTTGCGCAATATCACTACGTAAAATATCACGGCCGTACAGAGAAGGAAATGATTAGTTGAATAAAGTCGTTATTTTTGTTTGTTTTTTTGCGCACAAAAAGTATTCTCGTCGCTTGATAAACTTGAGGTTGAGCCACTGTAGTCACTCGGACTATTTTAACGATGTCTTTCATAACTTTTGGGCCGGTCAGTTTCGATCCCTTAAGAAGCCATCCAGCTCTCAGATTTAATCAAAAATATCTTAATTTGTGTTCCGAAGATCTTACGGGGTTGGAACAACATGAGGGTGAGTAATTACTGACAGAATTTTCATTTTTTGGGTAAACTAATCCTTTAAAACTATATTGGCCAGTGTTTCAGTTTCATTGTCCAACCCCTGTGTATACAGTTGTAATCAAAATGATTAAGACCCCATTGCAAATCAGGTTTGTTGGCAACATTTACAGACTTTCAGCTGTTTGCAATGAACAAATCAAACAAAGGTAATTGAAATAACTCAACACAACAAATGTTTCAAGTGGTTTCCCCAAATTCAAATAAAAATGCCACTTTTAACGATTCTGCAGTCTCAAAATTATTCAACCCCCTGAATAGAATCCCTCACAACCGCACAAATCTGCAAAACAGGTTTTGTCTCAAGCACACCTGATGCAACTAATCAAAGTCAAAAGAATGGTCCAAAAAGTTAAGAGCAGATATCATTGCCCTTCACAAACAAGTAGCAGGATACAAAAAGATAGCGAAGGCACTAAATGTTCCTAGAGACCGTTGGAAGCATAGTTTGCAAGTTCAAAGTTAAAGAAACAGTGGTTACACTACCTGGATGGGGCAGAAAAAGGAAGCTATCAAACAAGATTTCTCAGAATTTATTAAAAGTTGCATTTTCAGTTGAATTTGCGGAAACCACTTGAAACATTTGTTGTGTTGAGTTATTTCAATTACTTTTGTTTGATTTGTTCATTGCAAAGAGCTGAAAGTCTGTGATTCGGCCATAGGCACGAGTGTTTGCTCATCCGCCATGACACTCGCTGTGAGAGAAATGCTGCAATCGGAGTGATACCAAAGGTGAAACGGTTCCTGTAGTGATACTGGTAGAATATTGTATGGCTGGAAAAGTTTCTCAGCCAATCAGAATCAAAAACTAGAACTGTTGTATACATAAATAACACATACATACATACACAAACACACACAGGAACATTATTATTATTAACCATAATATAAATAATTTGTACTTATCCTTCAGTTAAAAAAATACATTTTCATTTAAATGTTTCAGTAATGCATGTTCACTGGAAATCAAGGCATTGCAAAATAGATGCTGGCCTTAGAGAACCTATAAAGCTCCTAATTGCCACCTTGTTGTCAATCAACAATCCACTCTGTAGTTGACCTGTAATGAATTCCAGGAACCATGAGCAGCATCACACGTGCTTAATCAGCAGTGCCTCGAAGGTTTACATTTAAATCAAAGACATTTTAAAATTGATTTAGTTGATTCCTGGGGCATAAATATCAGTAAATTGTCCAGCAGAAATGTGAAATCCATGACAATGTTGCTTTTATCAGTGTGCATGAGCAAAAAGATGACTGGAAGCTAGCGCCAATGTCACTTTCAGAGGGCAAGCTTTTGTGTATGACGAGATGATTTTGCCATAGTACACGTCAAATCAGTAGATATGATTTAAATTAATCTGATTCTCTATATTCAGAGCAAAACCTGTTTCATCAATTAACTTGTTTAGAAACTTCTTTCCATTCCATATATTTTACAAGCCATGTCTGATTCTCCTGCTGTTCTCTCTATGAAAGTGGTGTGAGAAATATTAAACATCTCTAGCTTTCAGCTTAGGAATGAATTTCTTCTGTTAACAGTTTTAGCAAGAATTTTTGGCTTGTATCCATGCCTCTTTCCCACACTGCAGTCTTACAAGGTGTTACTCTTGTTTGTGCATTGATCGGTAACGCTTCCTTTTACAGTCCTGTTACCCATGTACATACTAGGTACTTATTATAGTAATTACAATTACTGGGTAATAACTAGGTACTAACCCTGAACCTACCCCTAACCCATGTACTTACCTTATATTAGCCAGTACTTTCTAGGTAAGTACACTGTAAGTACACGTAAGTACTGTACTGTAAAAGGAAGCGTTACCCATTGATATATGCCTGTGTTTTGCAGCCTGCATGCACATCTCTGACCCTGCCAGCCTAATAACTGATCATGTGAAAGGGATTGAATGATAACTGAAGCACACTTTGTGTGCACACGCTGGTTTTTAGGACCCTTGGCAGTCTGCATGGAAAATCTTAACCTCTCTGTGACATTACAAAGCAGTTTTTGCCAAGCCAAATAGCAGCTCAATCGTGTCAATGGCCAAGGCTCAAGCAAAGGGATTTGATTGGCCAGTTCTGTATCATAAGCACTCGTAAGGAGGAAAATATGGCCATATCAGTTTTATTTACAATGTTACAGTATCCGTATGCCATTTGGACATCTAATGAATTAGAATGCAAATATCAGTGGTGAACAAAAACATTTTTATGAAAGTGAACTGATACAAACTCGTCCTTGATCTCTTACCAGTTAAAACCAGCAAATTTATGGAAAGTCACAATCAGGTTCATTTTCACCCTCCCCTTATACATGTTGTTGAAACATTGATCATGATCTTAGCTGTTTCCAGACAGAGGATGACGACTTTGAAAATGACATGGGACTTGAGTTTTGATTTGCAAGTTGTCCTGCTAGACTGACAAGAGGGAATAACTGTACATCTTTTCTTCCATTCATCCTCCTTTTTCTGATTTTGAAATGCAGATATGAGGCAGAGAACGCTTTCTTCTCCAACCTCAACCTGTCTGACTTCAACATCATCGACACTCTTGGAGTTGGAGGATTTGGGCGTGTTGAACTGGTAACAGAACATCATGTTTTCAATGCAATATTTATGTTTATTATGTAAAAGTGTGCACTTTTTTTTCTCCAAATGTTTTTTGATCATATAGAGTATTTCATTATAATAGTTCATCATAGTCATTCATTCAGATTCGATTTGTGTGTGTGTGCGTGTGACAATACACTATCTCTGCTTGTTTTATTCTTAGGTGCAGCTCAAGAGTGATGAGGTGAAGACATTTGCAATGAAGATCCTAAAGAAGCGCCACATCGTGGACACGAGACAGCAGGAGCACATCCGATCAGAGAAACTAATTATGCAGGAGGCGCATTCAGATTTTATAGTCAGGTACCTCCAGTGGCCAGGCACATACTACATTAAACTGCAGTTTTTAATGACTAAAGTGGTTTATATGCAGTGCCATTTTACTATCATTGATATACTATTATAGTTTTTGTTAATATTTTGAAAATAATTAATTTTATATTTTCTGCTTTCATTTTAATTTTAAGTAATTTTGTTGTACGTTCTTGTGATTTGTATTAGTTTTATTTTTGTGAATATGCCAATATATAGTTTTAATTAAGTTTTAGTTTATTTTAGTACCTCAGCTTTAAGCAAAAATGAGAAATGTTGCATTGGCTTGTTTATTTCAAGTAATATTTTTTTATTTTTTTTTATGGTTTTAATTGTAATTAACAATAATAACCCTGTCTATATCAAATATAATGTTGGTAGTTTTTGCTTTGAGATCCGACATGTGACAACATGTAGATGTATTTCAACCCTTGCATTTGTAAAATCGCATTTTGACACTGTTCCTCTTGTTTTCGTAGACTCTATAGGACGTTTAAGGACAGTAAATACCTCTACATGTTAATGGAGGCGTGTTTAGGTGGAGAACTGTGGACTATCCTCAGAGACAGGTGACACTTATCTATTCACTTTGTTTTCTTGTATGGTTGCTGTCTGGATTTCAACAACAAAACAGTCCTGTTTCTTTCATAATCACAGAGGAAACTTTGATGATTCAACCACACGGTTTTACACGGCATGTGTGGTGGAGGCGTTCGCTTACCTGCATTCCAAAGGCATCATATACAGAGACCTCAAACCAGAGAACCTGATACTAGACCACAGAGGCTACGCCAAACTGGTGAATATAGGATGCCATAAAGACACCCAGTATTCATCTTCTAGTAGTTTCATGATGATGAAAGGACAATAATAACCATCTAGAACATTGCGCTTCTTTAAAGTATACAGTAATTAAACAAATATTTTGTAAACTGAAGCTACACTTAAGAGTGTTTTAATGTCAATGCATTAGAAAACACAATATCAAACCAATTGGTATTTAAAAAAAAAAAACAAACACATTTTTCACAAGGCTGCTCACCTATAACCCTATCGCTAAACATAACTCCACCAATTAGGTCTGGACGTTGTTTGGCTCTGCAGTGAGCACCACTTGCATTTTAAGCAAAATTTCAGAAAAATACGTTTAAGGAGAACAGATACACCGTTTAAAATTAGGACAAAAAGTAATTTGAAAGTTTACCAATTTGCATTTTGAACACAAAATGTTCTACGTTCACTTTGTAATCTTTGAATAAAAGATATGACAGAATAAGAGGGATAGTAAAAAAATGTCAACTGCACACACTCAAAGTGGACCAAAGGGACTTTCAGGGACAGGGTGAATACAAAGTCTACTGGATGCTTTTTCCGTTCACTTTTTGGTCCACTTAAAGCTATAGTTCAACCAAAAATTGAAATTATGTCATCATTTACTCTCCCTCATGTCCCAAACTGCTTTCTTCTGAGGAATATAAAATATATTTTGAGAAATGTCAGCATTCTTCAAAATATTTTCTTTTGTGTTCTGCAAAAGAAAGGAAGTCATTCAGTTTTGGAAACAACATGAGGGTGAGTAAATGACGAGAGAACATTCATTTTTGGATGAAGTATCCTTTAAAGAGTTCAGACGTTGCTTCTGTTAAAGAAGACTCGAGCATGAAACCTAAAATCTTGTGTAAATCTTTTAAAGGTGGATTTTGGCTTTGCTAAGAAGATCGGCTTTGGGAAGAAGACATGGACATTCTGTGGTACTCCAGAGTATGTGGCACCAGAGATCATCTTGAATAAAGGACATGACATCTCCGCAGATTACTGGTCCCTCGGCATCCTCATGTACGAGCTACTGACCGGCAGGTAAGACACAGAGCTCTACGTGTTTGAAAACACTGGTTCATTTAAACATTTTATTTTATTTTTTATATTATGATTTTTAATTCATACTACACATGCAAAAGCAATGTTTTCTTTAAATCTTTTCATTTCCTCTATTTTTCAGTCCTCCTTTTTCAGGACCAGATCCAATGAAAACATACAACATCATTCTAAGAGGCATTGACATGATAGAATTCCCCAAAAAAATAACCAAAAATGCTGCCAATCTAATCAAAAAGCTATGCAGGTATGTATCCATCACACTATAAAACACATTCACTGTCAATCAGCTGTTTTCCAATGCAGATTTTTTTTTTTTCTTCTCAGAGACACACCTTCTGAAAGACTAGGAAACTTGAAAAACGGTGTTAAAGACATCCAGAAGCACAAGCAAGTTTGACATTCGCTTTAAAACATGATCTTGAAGAATGAGCTAATACAGTTTCATGAATAATCTCATGTAATGAATGTGTCCACAGATGGTTTGAAGGGTTTAACTGGGACGGATTGAGGAAGGGGACACTGACGCCCCCTATCATTCCTAATGTAAGTGCTTACCCTCATGCTAGATAGATTTTACACTAATATAAGGCCAGAAACATATTCTATGCAAGTACACTTTTAGAAAAAAGGTTGTATATAGAATCTTAAAGGGTTCTGTCAGGTGCTTCATATATAGAATTGGTTTTAATTCATTTTTAATTGTAATTGAATATTATGAATTAAGCAGCTTGTAAACATACTTTATCACATGAAACGCATGAAAGTATTAAGCAATCATTTAAACAATTTATCCTTATTTAGAACCTGGCATTTTGACATGATTCTTTAAAATTGAGTTGAAAGGGTTCCATATAGAACCATATTTAACCCTTTTTTTAAAGAGTGTACTGTATGCACAAGTGCATTCTTACTATGCTGCTTACAAATCTCAAAATGTCTCTGACATTTAACTGAAAATGTTATTCAGATAGCTAGTTATAAACATGTCTAACTTTAGCAAACTTGCTTTGCTCTCTTCGAACATTGCTTTGTCCTGACAATAGTTGTTCTGAAAGAGAAAATAGGCAGCCCACAATAGCATTGAAAAATGACATTTGAATTGTTTTGACTCATTTTGAAAAGCTTCAGTGTGTGAAAACAAGCTAGCGTTTGGTTACACATACTGCTCGAATATTTGCACTGATAAACATGCTACATAGACACATGGTTGAATTACTATGCTATAGTACATTACTGTTTAAAATAGATTTTTTTAAAAAGTAATTAATGCTTTTATTCAGCATGGATGCATTAAATTGACAAAGTAATATAAACAAAGGAATCCTTAAAAATATCACGGTTTTTACTGAAATATTAAGCAGTTTAAACATTGAAAATAATAAGAAATGTGTCTTGAGCAGCATATTAGAATGATTTCTGAAGGATCATGTGACACTGAAGACTGGAGTAATGATGCTGAAAATTCAGCTTTGACATTACAGGAATAAATGACAGCTAGCATGGTAACACTTAATACTAACTTAAGTACACAGTAATATAATACTTTACAAATCATTTGCAAACTATAGTTAATAGGCTATATACAAATAATGAGTTCTTCATTCATTGTCACTGTAATTAACAAAATATTTAAAGTTAGATTGTTTTTTTTAATGCTTTAACAACTTCTTAACCGTAAATAGTTCTCACTTTAGATCAGGTCATGGAAAATGTGCTTTAAATCAACCTTTATTGGACATTAATTGCATTAGTATTAAGTGTTCATTAAAATGTTTACAAAATACATTAAGCATATATGTCATGTGTAGACAAAACAAGACTGAACAAAGAACTGAGAGGATCCAAGGGCTTGAATACAGCCCTTAAATACAGTGAGGTCATTAACTGGAAAAGAAACAGGTGCGTGATAGATTAGAAACTAATAACGACCAGGACACAGGCAAAATGGGAACGGGGAAAAAAAGAACGAAAAAAACACAATGAAACTAAACATACTCCTGAGTCCTGACATTATATACAAAGTTCTGTCATGAACCACTAGATGGTGCAGGCTGATAGGTCCTTAATTCAATCTGCTTGCAATCACATCATTCTCTATAGGGCACAGCTGATTGGTTCTTGCTGTATCAGTAGCCAATGAGCTTGCTGCTCAATCCTCAAATACTTGGTCAGTATTTGCTGTAGCAGTTGCAGTGCACTTTCAGAATTCCTCTGAAATTCAACATCTAAGATAAGTGAACGGTCTTTCTTATGCTATATCACTATGCATTATTGCGTGGTCTGCCTTATTAATTCCCTATGAAGTAACCATACACAAGGCTTAAAATCACGTGTCATGTTAACAGTCCTGTTTTAATGCTTAGAGTGAATTACTAAACATATTAGCAGCTAGTGTATATGTAATATTGTGTTTATACAGCAGCAGCAAGCAGACAGTGTAGTTGCTATGAGGATACAGTGACAAAGCTTTGCTGGCACATGCATTCGTTGAAGTGAAATAGGCATTCTGTTTCGTATCGCATCAATGGAGCTTACAGCAGCTCTTAGTACTTTGGACTTGAATTTGCTATACATGCTGAACAATGTTAGTAAATATATTAACAGGACGCTAGCAGATGTTGCGGTGAAGTATTAAAAAAAAGCTTGAATTGAGTGAGGTCATCATCAGCTGGCTAACGTTGATCATGCAATGTGAACATTATCATTTAATATGCAAACAAATGTATTCACTTTAATTACAATAAGCAGCAAGCAGCTGCATTTCTGGCAGTATTAGATTGAGCATATATACTATCTCACAACTAGCCAACAGGACGAATAACGATTTATGCTATGTCCAATGCTTTCATCGTTAGCATATTAGTAGACTAATCCACTGTGTCACGTATAGAATGATAATTAATCACTTTGAGCCTGGTTTCTCCCAAGGTATTTTCCGCCATTCTGTCACCTGATGGAGTTTGCGTTTCTCGCCACTGTTGCCTCTGGCTTGCTTTGTTGGGGACAATATTATTGATCTATAATGTACTGACGCTGCTGACTGTACAATAGCATAATTTTCCTGTTATCACTGTAAAGCTGCTTTGAAACAATCTGTATTGTATAAAGTGCTAGCCATTATATAAATTATGGTGACTTGACATTCCATTTACCTAGAGTATGTCAAGGCAGTTTTCCAGGCATCCTCAAATGAAAGCAAGAGCAGTCTCAGTCGATACTGTAATATCATATTGGTGAAATATGGTATTTTCCTTACAAATACTGTTCGAAGGCATTATTTATGTTGTTTAGAATGCAGTGGGCTTATATATTAAAAATATGAAACTCGCAGACAGAAGGATGTCTTTCAATTTCAAATACTCACGCCACGCGCATGCAGCTGTGTGTGTGCGACAACGACTTCGTGGTTAAATGTACTTTCAGATTCATCTCAAAATGGTTTTATGATGCGAAATTAATGTGTAAACAGTCAGTTTTGTCTTAAGGGATTAAACAGACAGAACAAACCACGTCTTTGATTTCAAAAGAGATCCGTTGTCTGTTGTCAAACACACACACACGTCTGGTTTACTATCTTTGTGGGGACTCTTCATAGACGTAATGGTTTTTATACTGTACAAACTGTATATTCTATCCCCTTACACTAACCTTAGCCATAATCCTACCCATCAAAGAAAAAATTCTGCATTTTTACATAATAAAAAAAGTGTGACTTATAAGCTTGTTTCCTCACAGTGACAAGTCCCCATGAGTCTGTGTGCATTCAGGTTGCATTCACCGTGTACACACACACAGTATATATGATCCCATAACCTTACCCCCAAAGCTAAACATAACCACTGTTAAAAATAATAATGTGTATACAATAATAAGTACAATATATACAATAAGTAACAATGCTGTCAATTTGTCAATACTGTATTTTTTTAATCATCTATGCAAATATAAGTAAACATTTGTGAGGTAGAAACATGCATACAAATACTCATGAGATCACGTTAAAATGCATCAGCTAGGGTAAGGGAATAGAATAATGAGAAATCTAAGATTTTTTTATACTGTACAAAATATATAGTCCCTATAAAACATGGAAACCCAATGTGTGTGTGTGTGTGTGTGTGTGTGTGAGAGAGAGATAGAGAGTGTGAAGGTGATGATAGACAAGGCAACTTTTTGAGTAATGTTGCCGGGCAATGTTGCCGTCAACGGGCAACCAGATGAGACACAGGGCCCACGACCGATCTAAATTATCCAGATAGAAATGTATTGCCCATTTTCAATGGGAAAGTGCCCAGCAACATTGCTCAAAAAGTTGCCTTGTGTATTATCTCTCAGAGAGAGAGAGGGAGAGAGTGTGAGTGTGTGTGCGCGCTTAATGTATTTGTAAACATTAAAAAGAACATTTAATATGAATGCAATTAATGTCCAATAAAGGTTGGTTTGAAGCACTTAAGGACATTTTCCACTTTTTCGTGACCTAATCTGAAGTGAACTATTTACTCCTCCTTAACCATACAAGTAATGCACATTTTAAACCAGTAGTAAAGGAGCTGGTAATGGTTATTAGTTGTTAACAAAGCATTAATAACATTTAACTATTTACATATGAGCTAATAATTAAACATTAATAATTGTGTTAATTACAGTGACAATGAATGAAGAACTCACTGTTTGTATATAGCCTATTAATGTAGACACTACAATACATATTAACTATAAACTAATAGTTTACAAATGATTTGTAAGTACTGTATTACTGTATACTTTTAACGTTAGTTAAACCAATTCTGGTAACACATTAACGATTAATAAATACTGTAGCAAATGTATTTTTCAATGTTAGTTAATATTAGGTAATGCATTAACTAACATTAACTAATGGGACTTTATTGTAAAGTGTTACCATTACATTTAATATACACTGAACAAAATTATAAACGCAACACTTTTTCATGAGCTGAACTCAAATATCTAAGACTTTTTCTATGTAAACAAAAGGCCTACTTCTCTCAAATATTGTTCACAAATCTGTCTAAATCTGTGTTAGTGAGCACTTCTCCTTTGCCGAGATAATTCATCCACCTCACAGATGTGGCATATCAAGATGCTGATTAGACAGTGATTATTGCACAGGTGTGCCTTAGGCTGGCCACAATAAAAGGCCACTCAGTTTTATCACACAGCACAATGCCACAGATGTCGCAAGTTTTGAGGGAGCGTGCAATTGGCATGCTGACTGCAGGAATGTCCACCAGAGCTGTTGCCCATGAATTGAATGTTCATTTCTCTACCATGAGCCGTCTCCAAAGGAGTTTCAGAGAATTTGTCAATACATCCAACCGGCCTCACAACCACAGACCACGTGTAACCACACCAGCCCAGGACCTCCACATCCAGCATCTTCACCACCAAGATCGTTTGAGACCAGCCAACCGGACAGCTGCTGCAACAATCGGTTTGCATAACCAAAGAATTTTTGCACAAATCGTCAGAAACCGTCTCAGGGAAGCTCATCTGCATGCTCATCGTCCTCATCTGGGTCT